ATAAAATTAAAAAAAAATAAAAATCATGGGGCCTGCCAGGCATGGTGGCACACACCTGCAATCCCAGGACTCAGGAGGCTGAGACAGGAGGACTGACACCAATTTAAGACCAGCCTGGCTACATAGCGAGTTCAAGGCCAGCCTGAACTATATAGCAAGAGCCTGTCTGAACAAAACAACAACAACAACAACAACAAACCATAGGGACAGACACGGTGACGCGTGCACAAAATCCCAGCACTCCGGAGGCTAAGGCTGGAGGATGGCCAAGTTCAACCCCAGCTTGGGCAATTTAGCAAGACATTATCTCAAAATAAAAAGAGCTGGTGGTGTAGCCAGAGCTCAGTGGGTTCAACTCCCAGTACCACCCCCAAAAAAATTGTGGGTTAAAACAATGACTCTAGAGCCCATGCATTCTCATCCCAGAAGTCCCCTTACCCATCTGTGCCTCAGCTTGTTCCATCAATGAAATGGGATCAACTCATACTTCATGGAGCATTTGAGAGGCTTGGACAAGCTTTTTGTATCAGTATCAGACTTAGAGCAGAGCTGGACATACGGGAACCCTCAGCACATGTTCACTACTGTTACCAAAAATATCATCGCCATGACACTGCCTAACAGCCCCAGAGGTATTTCATTATAAACCCCATTTTACAGATAAGATGAGGCTCCTAGAACACATTTGCCCACGTTCATCAGCAAGCCAGAGGGCAGTCCCAGAGTTTAGTTCCGAGCTGAATGATCCAAGATGCTGAGGTACAGTGCACCTGGGGGACCCTCTGCACCCCCAGCCCCTCCTGCCTGATCCCAGGGGCTCTGCCCCCATCCCAACCCTGCTGCGGCTGCAGGAGGGGGTTCTGCATTCCTGGCTAAGCAGCGGGATTTGCTGTGCTCCCGGAACTATGAAAAGAATGTTTGCCACGAGCTGAGCCGTGGTCGCCTGTCAAGGAGCGTGGCCTGGAGGGCCCACGCGGAGCTGTGTGGCAGCCAGCACCGTGGGAGAGGAGGAGGCCAGACAGAAGGGAGGACTCTGCACCGGGGGGCTGCGGACACTGGATGGGGTAGAGGCCAAGAAGCCTCTGGAGTGAAGAAAAGAGGCCTCCACCCTACAACTTGTTTCTCCTCCCCGCAGGCTGTTGAGAGGGCCAGGCCTGCACTACGGCCGTCTCGTGAATGGGATCGGCAGACTCAGAGGAAAGATCACCTGAGGTCACACAGCAGCCGGTGGCAGACTGAGACCAGAGGCCAGGGTGCTGAGCCTGGCCTCCTAGCGGCGCCCTCACTCACAGGGCCCACCACAGGCTCCGCGACACTAGAGAGCATGCCCTCGCCTCACCATTCCGCTCTCCTTGGGGCTGCCTGCCCCTGCCTGCCACTCCACATGCTGCGCACCTACTCCATGAACACTTCATGCTCTGCAAACGCCTAGTGCTCTGTGGGTACCCAATAATTAAGACTCCATTGCTTTCCCACTGAACCAAGTTTTGAGGAGAAAAGCAGCCTAGGTCAGTGAGGAGATCAAGGATCAAGTGTTCTCACAGAGCCAGGAGTGGATGCTGGGCAGCACCCAGATCACCAACCTCCCTGAGCCTCTACTTACCCCTCTGCTAAGTGGGCCACCCATCCCTACCTTGCAGCCTGTTTTAAGGACTAAATGAAACAAGTAACAAAGGACCTGACACACAGGAAGTGCCCAAGAAACGCTTGTTGTTAGCCCTCCCTCAAGGGGACTGAGTCAGGAATGGAGTTAGAAAACCTCCAGTGACGAGGTTCTCTCCACCCCAGGTCCCGATGGCCCTATGAAGGACACAAGCCTCTAGGAGGAAGGGGGCCTCAGCCCAGAGTCCTGGCCTCTGGCCTCAGGTCTGCCACCGCCTGCTGTGTGACCTCAGGTGATCTTTCCTGTGAGCCTCACAATCCCATCCATGAGATGGGCCAGTCATGCCAGCCTGGGCCTCCCCATGAGGCGCCAGCCCTCTGCCACCCTGCCCACCCCGCCGTCGGGACAGCTACCCTTCCATTCAAAACTTTCCAAGGATCTGAATGGAGACCAGGTCTTCTCCAGTCCACTCCCAGGATCCATCAGATGGGATGGACACTGAGCAGAAATCTGGAGATGACCCAGGTGCTACCCCCAAGTGGGACCTGGGGCCACCCCTCACCTCTCTATAGGCAAAATGATCCTGGAGACAAATGCTGACATTCCCATTTTGTAAATAGGGAAACTGAGGCACGGAGCTGGGAAGTACCAGGTCTGTCTGACTCCTACGGCCAGCTCTTCTCCACAGTGCTCTTGCTGCCCTCACTCAAGGTCTGTGTCCACATCCGCCTGCCCGGCAATGCCCACGGCAGGTCTGGAGTTTGCTTCCTGGAAGTATGACTTCCTGCCTGATGTCTGGGCACACATGTGCACACTCTGACCTCGCATACCCACCCAGGCTTCTATACATATCCAGGCCTCCCAGATACAACCCTCCCAACTAAAATAAAAGAAAATAAAAAATAAAAAGCCCTCCCAACTGGTGGCCATGCTCAGCCCCCACCCCTAGTCATCGTAACTTACCGGATCCCAGGGAGCAAACCCACGTCTCCCCTCCCCAGAGCAAATCTCTTAGTCTGCCCTCTCCTCACCTGACAGCCAATCTCTCCCTCACTTTGCATCTACTTCCTCCTCTCATCCCCATGACAACCACCCACCTCAGCCCCCTTCACCTTCACCTTCCTCCTCAAACTACCCAAAGTCTCCCGGCTGCTAAGGTTCTCCCCTTCGCCCTCAGCCCCCAGAGCAGCCAGAATGGCTCCTGGGTTGCGTCGCTCCGCAGCTCACACACCCCCATCTCTAGACAAGGTCCTTGGGAATCTGAGCTCCAAGTAGTGTGAGTCCCTCCCACTCCCCACTATTGGATCCAAAGACACCTTACCACTCACTGTCCCTGAGAGACCCTGCAGCTCCCTGCTCCCCCACCTTGGCATGTGCTATTCCCTGCCTCAAGACACCCTCCCACTCCCACCCCTTGCACCTGTCAAAGTTCTTTTTTGGAGGGTGGGGTACTAGGAATCGAACCCAAGACCTTGCGCTTGCCAGGCAGGCACTGTGCTGCTGAGCTATATCCCTGAACCCAAAACTCTCACTGTCCTTGAAAGCCTCAAACAGAGTCACCTCTTGGGTGTTGCCATCCATTCCTGATTCCACTCCCTCACATTCCTTCAGTTTGGCTTGCATGGTGCCTCCCCCTTGGGGACCTCAACCGGTACCCTGAGATCGCAGCTACACCCTATCTGAGAGGCCACTGTGCTCGGCTCTTCCACCCCGACTCCAACTCTGTAAGTCCCTCAGGCCACTTCCCTCCGAGGGCCCACGCCTGCCACTGGGGGGCCTGGAGTGAGCTGGGAGCACAAGGGGCAGCTGGGCTCATCCATCCTTTGGTTGGCTTGGGCTCAAAGTGGAGGAAGTAGTGGGGTCGGGGGCTCAGGCTGACAGCCCTCTTTGCTACGTTTGCTATTTCCCCTCCCTCTCAGTAACATTCACTTCCAGTTCTCCTCTCCCCTTCCTCTGAGGCAGAGTGGAAACACTCATGTTCACTGTGGTGGACTAATTGAAACCGGAGAGACAGACCCTGGTGAGCGTGCGAGTGTGCGTGTGCGTGTATGCATGCTGTCCTGTCTGAGAATGTCTGTATGGGCCATGTGGGGGCTGTTGTGTGTCTGCAGGAGTCTGGGTGAGTGTGTGTGTGTGTGTGTGTGTGTGCGTGTGCATCCACCTATCACTGTTGGAGCATTTGCAGTGCTGTGGGCTGCAGGAGGGATGCTCATGTGCATCTAACTCAGCGTGTGACCGTGTGGGACTCTCCGCGGGAGGAAGTATAGCTGTGTGTGACTCTGTGTCTGTGCTTTGGCCTCATCACCTTTTGGGGGACGGTTGTGTGTCCAGGAGTCTGTGGATGTTCACTAGTCCAGCAGAAGGCCAGCAGGGGCATCCATGCCCTGACAAAGACTGCCGACTCTCCTGGGTCTCCCCTAACTCCTACCTTCAGGGTCAGTCCCTGAGCTCAGTCCCCAGGGAGGGACCCCAGCTGCTCGACCTTCCAGCATCGCTGCCCCGCTGCCTGTGGGCCTCCAGTGCCCACCGTGACTCTGGAAGGCTTCCTTCAATAAGGGCAGCAGGCAAGAGGAAGACGTCTGACGGCCAGTATAGCCTACAGGAGGCAGGGCCCTCCTGTGTTGGAAATAGCATGTTCTCTCCCGTATCAGTGTCTCATGCACAGATGTGTACACACACGCACACACGCATACACACAACTCAGAGGGTCTGCTCTTCCCAACTGGCAATTCTGGGCCCCTGGGCACGTCTTGGGGGCAGTGTGTCTCTAGCCCCAAGGCAGGGACACTGGGTAGCTGTTTTGGGGTCCTAGGACCTCAGTTCCCCTTCTGAGCCCCTGCAAGTCTCAGTCTGGAGTTGGGGGAGGTGCAGAGCCTCTGGCAGGAACATTCCTCAGACCCTCGGTCTCCAGATTGGGGTGGAGGGCTGCCAGGACACTTAGAATAGGAGCGACTTGGGGCAGAGATACCAAACCAAGTAACTGGGAGACCAGGGCAAACGAGAAAGGCAGAAAGCGGGGTGGGGATGAGGGCGCGCTAGAGTCCCCTCACTCCCCCCTCTCCTCCACCACCCGGAGAGAAGGATCTGCTATTCCCATTTTACAGGTGGGGAGCAACGCTGAGGGTGAGTGACCGCCCAGAGCCACATCGGCGGGATCCTGCCCGCCCTGACGCCTGAGCCCTCAGGAGTCGGGGCTGCGGCTGGGTTTCTGCCCCAGGGGGAGGGCGGAAAGCGCGGCTCTGAGAACAGTGGGATGGGCTCCCCCGCCTGATCCGCCACCCGCCCGGGTCCGAGGCTCCGCTCTCCGACCCGTTCGTCCATCCGTCCGCCCGTCTCAGGCCGTCGTCTGGGGGAAGCCGGCGGTCCCGCCCGCAGAGCACCCACTCGAGCCCCTTACCTGCAGGGCAGCCTCGAGGGGGGCCCCGGCGCGGGCTCTGGGCTCCTGCTCCGGGCGCGAACGGCGTCGCGTCCGCGCCGCCGGGGTCGAGTCGCTGTGC